AGGCAGCAGAGACATCAGGGCAAAGGCCCTGGGGCGGGACCGGGTCTGGAACCTGGGAAGAATGGCAGAGAGGCGATCGTGGGTGAAGGAAATAGCAGAGGGGAGGACGGTGGGGCTGCAGCCGCTACTGCCGAGGCACATTGGAGCCCCTGGCTTTCGCAGGACGCAGAGTGGAAGGGGCGGGACCGAGCAGGGCTGAGATGTGCTTTCTCTGACCATTGGCTGTGAAATGCGTTCTGAGAACAGGCCATTCAGCAGCAAGACTATAAACCGGCTGTTAAAAGTCAATGGGCAGGTGATTCAGGTGAGAGCGGGAACACTGGCTTGAACGGGCGGTACCTGGGGGGAGGCATCTTCAGCGTGTGTTTTAGCAGGTGGGGCTGACCCCACCTCCTGAGAGGTGGAGGCGCGCGGTGAGAGAGAGTGGGGGGCCACGCCGAGGTTACAGGATGAGAAGCTGGAAGAGGGGGTGCCACTCGCCGTGATGATCCCGGGCCAGGGGCAGCGGGTTTGGAGGAAATCGGAACTCTGTTTTGAGACGTGTTCGTCCTCGGGTGTCTGTCAGCTATGAGTGATGCTTCTGGGCAGGCAGCTGGGTTTCCGGGTCCAGGGAGGAGGGTCGGGCTTGGGGAACTGAGCTGGGACGTTGGCGCCTGGGGGTGGGCAGCCTGCTGCCGAGTCTCTACGTGTCTGGAGTTCAAGGTGACCCTGTCTGAGCAGCACAGCGTCTACTCCGCACCTGGGCTGGTCTGACGCGGTCTGAGTGACGGCCGCGCCATGCAGACCAGCAGAGCGGCCGGGCTGCTGCGTCTCCCGGGGAGCGGGTGCCCCTGCCAGGGAGGGAGACTCACTTCCCGAAAACCAGCGCACGGCGTGGGAACCGCCCCGCCTCGCGGACCGATGAAGTCTGGGAGCTGGTCCTCCAGCCCCCAGCTGGGCCCTCCCCACTGCCGGCCCCACCTCCTCCCCCAGGGAGAGTGTGTTCTCTCTACACGGTGCTCCAGTGTGACGGCCTGCACCCCCCCCACACGTCGGGGACGCACCCCGGTGGGGGCCCTGCCCTGAACTCGTGGCCTTGCCGCAGAGGGAAGCACGTCCAAGGAGGTTGCCACACACTTTCTGGCAGACCACCACCTGCGGCTGGAAACGGTGTGGGAGCCCATCTGGTACCTTTGAGGGACTGGTCTCCCCGAGGGGTGCCTGCCCTTCACCACCCGCTCTCACCCCAGGACGCGGAGGTTCCAGAGCCATCGCCCCAAATCGGGCTGCGTTTTCTCTCCTCGCAGTGGGACCCGCCAGCGGACAGCCCAGCCTCGGACCCTGGCAGGGAGAGGACCCGGCCTGGGAGGCTGTGACTCAGGAGGGATCTATGAAACCCAGGTGGTCCGGCAGCAATTGTGGGACAAATAGGGACTCAAATCGGGGCGGTCATAAAGGTGCCGGCAGTTCTCCGGCTTAGCACCGCTATTAACAACTTGGGCCAGGAAAGGAATCATTTTCCTTGGATTAAGTCTTTGCCGGCTGAGCTGGCGTAACCGTGATGTACGGCCGAAAGCCCGTCACCTCTAACCCTGGATCACCGTGCACGGTTTGCGGTAAAGCGCACTCGTTCTGGAATGTTCCAAAGGGGGGTTTCCACGGAACCGGAGCACCATGCATCAGGGTCTCCCCTCGTTTATTTCCTGCTTCCAGAGCCGCCAGTTTCGATCTCCGTTCCTCAGAGCCAGGCTCGGGTTGAGCGAGTCACCCGCGGTCCCCTTCACTCGAGCTGCTTCCCCGCCAATAGAAACCGCGGCCCGTGTAATGGGTCTAATTGCACGTATCTTCCGTGTTTGTATTTTACATGTCGCAGTACAAGACACGGGGCTGTGCGAGATGTCAAAACATAACCGTACTCGGGGGAAATAGGATTCGCTGCACGCTCGAGAGAGCAGCAGACAGAGGCTCCAGCGGCCTCCCGCGGAGCTGCCGTTCGCATGATGATAAGATTGCGGAGGCTGCTGTCAGGCAAAGCGGCAGGCGCTTCAGGGAGGACCGATTGCCACTGGGCCCTAATGACACTGCTGAATCGTCACCGGCACGGGCACCACAGCCATTAATAACAGGGAGATGGCATGCGTGGTGGCAGAAATATTTAAAAATGCAATGGTTTCGAGTAAAGTGTCTCATGAATTATACATTTAATTAAGGAAAGCCAAATGCGAAGGATTTTAAACTTCCAATTTGCAGGGGGGTTTTTTCCTTCCCCCATTAAAAATATATATAAACTGAGCTCGCAGGGGCTGAAGATGAAACCAAACAGATGAGGCTCCCACTGGTGGCTGTGCAAAAGGCGGGGGGTGGGCAGAGGCCGCTGCAGGGGGAGGGAGCCATGTGCCCCCTTCAGCCACCCCAGAGGGGCGCCCCAGGCCCCTGCATCCAGTAGCAGGTGGTACGGTGGCCTCTCCCCTCTGTTCACTCCCCTGGAAAACAGGGAAGCTGGACTGAAGACCTCTCCCGCCCCTCCCGTCCCACACAGTCCACGGCCTGTGAACCAGGGACACGCCCCACCCCAGGCAGCCACTGCGGGAGGCAAATGTTCCTGGGGTGGCCACCGTGACATCCATCACCAGCAGTGGCCAGGAGCCCAAGTGTGCCGTGGACATCGGCGCCTGTCAAGGTGCAGCTCCAGGCCCCAGAGCCAGCGTCCCCTGGGAACTGGTCATGACAGAAGCCTGGCTTCTCCCACCCACTGGAGGAGCCCTGGTGGGCAGAGTCCAGAAGCTTCTGCGGCACCACCAGCCCTGCCAGCCACTCTGACACCCACTTGTTCGCCGAGACACTCAGCTCTGGAGGGGCCACTTTGGAGACAGTCACTTGCTGGAGGTTTGACGAGGTGTTGCCGTCCCTGCTGGTGTTCTGTGGAAACTCGTTGGAGTTATTTTGAATGACAGGTCAACCTGTGATTCTACAAGATTCTGAGACACCGGGCTCAGGGCAGGCGGCGCTGAGGGGGTCGGAACAGAGGGCAGGGAGTCGTTAGCACAGGTAGCTAAGTGCTAATGAAGAGGGGGCGGGGGGGGATACCACGTTGTTGAGTGCACTCAACTCGGGACCGTCTCCTGCTCAGCCAAGAAGCTGCCGCCTCCCACGGCCCAGGGGCCCCTGGCGTCGCCCTGCCAAGGGGATGGACACCCACTCAGTGCGCGCCCCGTGGGCTCCCACGTTCTCGCCACAATGGCTGGCGGCTCTAGCAGCCCCTGGGCGCCTGAGCACAGCGCCAGCCTGCCAGGAACAGGCTGGGCCAGCCGGGTCGGGCAGGCGTGGAGAGTGGGCACCAGGAGTCAGACACCGGCCCTGTTTCGGGGCCTGAGGAAGACGAGACCGGACCTCTCTGAGAGCGGGGTCCATGGGGAGGAGACGTGGGCAGCCTGGGCTGCCTTCTCTTCTCGCCCAAACCAGTCCTCCCGCCAGACCTCATCCTCCTTCTCGGGTCCCCTGAATGCTCTTCTCACGACCCACAAGGACACCACTTCCAATGGCAACAGGACGATTGTCCGGGATGCGGGCAGGGCTGGGCACGCACGGAGCTTGGGAGGCGAAGGGAGGCTGGGGGCAAGGAAGGGGAGCTGTGGCCAGCACAGACTGACCCGGAGAAAGGGGGTCGGCTACACAGAAGGAGAGGATGGAGGCGTGAAGCAGGAGCCGCAGGTTTGGCGTCAGAAGGATCTGGGGCCCAGTCGGCCTGTCCCCACCGGGCCGTTAGCAAGTGCCCGGCTCCACACCCTCCCGCGTCAGCCCCGCATTAGGAGTGGCTGCAAAGGACAAGTGAAACAGGCATGAAGTGAAAAAGCTCTGGGTTTTTTTTCATTCTTTATGTAACCTTTCCTATTTCTGGACCACATTCTTGAAGCAGCTTCTAAATGTTCCAGGATGGAAGGGTCTGAAAACAGGTCAAAAACCTCAGCCGCTGGGGTGAGAAGGAATTTGCCCTGGGAGAGATGGACATTACTGCCGCTGGTTCCGAGATTACAGGGGAAAGACAAATAAAGAGTGAGGGGCACCTGGGGCTCCCTGTAATTTCTGTTCAGGGAAAGGGGTGACCTTGGCCTCCAGAGAGCTGGCGCTGTGCTCTCTCCCCAGCGGTTACCGACTAAAGATCTCAAAGCTGAGGTGCCTCTTAGGAAATCGGCTCAGGTGTCTTCATTTGACGGAAGGTTCAGAAGATGCGGAGTCACTGACTCAGGGGGGACCCGCACGGAGTCTTCCCTCCTTTCTACGGTGGAGACGAGCCTGCGACCCAGACGGCTCTCTGATTGCACTCAAACTCCCTCTGAACCTCATTCTGGTGGAGACGGAGCAAGAGGTTTGGAAGTGAGGCACCCGGGGACATGGGTCCAAGGACATCCGCAGGGACACTTAGAAGCGGGAGGCCACGAGAAACGATGAAAAACCCAGGAGGACCTTGCAGAGGGGACCGAAGGTCCGGAGAGTGGGCACCAGACGAGGAGGTCAAGGCACGTTTGCAAGTGTGAGAAAGGGGTCAAGTGTGTGTGTGTTCCCTGGGGTAAAGCTCAGAGTTCCAGGGGCAGCGAAGGAATCCTGGGGCAGGGCCCGCCATTCCCAGGAACAGCAGTGAATCGCGCACGGTCTGGAGCAACGCCATCTGTCCTCTGCCTGATCCCCACCGATGGTGGGGGGCCCGTGACCTCATAAACCTGCTGCCACCGTCGCTCTGAAGTTCACGTGTCTCCTGGTCAAAGTCAGACAGCATCCTGGCCCCACCGCCGGCCACAGCTCCCCCCTCCGGCCCCTGGAGGTCTTGGGCGGGATGACCGCACCATTTCCCATCCACAGGGGAGTCTGCTTTAATGCGAGGAAATGTCACATCCCGCCGGGACAGTGGACACAAATCCGACCCACGGGGGCACAACCGCATTCTAACTTCGGCTAAGGAGGGCACGGGCTTTCACCTGGGAATGACCCCTGTGAGCCTAATGCCTCTCTCTCCCATTGTCCAGACCTGTCCTACGCCTGGGCCTTCAATGACAGCCCTTTGGACGTCCAGGAGGACGGCCGACGGTTTGTCTCTCAAGAGACGGGCAACCTGTACATCGCCAAGGTGGAGCCATCTGACGTGGGCAACTACACCTGCTCCGTGACAAACGAGCGTGCGCAGAGGAGTGTGCGAGGCCCGCCCACGCCACTGGTGCAGCGGCCAGACGGTAAGACCGTGGGTGGTCTCGGGAACACCCCTGGTCCACAGCGGGAAGCTGGGGGGGTGGTCTGCATGCTTTCTGCCTCCCTCAGGGTCAGGTTTGCCACCGTATGGAGGAGCCGAGGGACAAGTCACAAATGCAGTGAAAATCAGGACTTCTCAAAAATACACCCCAAAATTCTACACCTGACCCACGTGGTACAGGGACCGTGACCCTGGGTGTGCTGTGCCGTCTTTCCTCTGGCTCAGGGGCCAGCTAACGTGTCTTTGCTCGGGGAGTATTTGGGGACTATTTTGTGACCCACACTGTGTGTCTGGGGGGTAGGTGTGTGTTCCCGTGTGGATACAGCCAGACTTACTAATTCGGTTAATATCTTTTCACGAACACTCGATACGGCTTTTCTCTAATGCCTTTCTTTTCCATGTTGGTGTTTTCGTTCACCTTTTATTTACCTGGCTGGCAGAGCAGGGCAATATTCACATCCCACCCAGGGAATCAGAGTGAGCCAACCTTAATTACGAGCATTGCAAAGAGGAGTGAAACCCAAGATTCCCACCGTTGTGGTCCTAGAAGTGCTGGCCGGCCCGCCTCTCAGGGCTTGCGGCTTAATCAGGTCTCCGCAGGGGTAAGATTTAGAGGGTAGAACACGTAAGGGAATCGTCCCAGTAGAGAACTCCCCGGGCTGGTCCTTTCATTAAGTATTCACAGTGGGGGGTGTACTGACAGAGAGTTCACAGTGCATTTCTCGATCAGACTCTGGGCTTGAAACGTAGTAATACCACGTGCAGTTTACCTCCTCTCTGGGGAGTTCAGATAAACCAAGAACATAGTGCTAATTATGGCTGCCGCAATTATGCAACTAGCTACGTGCAGGGAGTTCCTGGGATGGCGCTTTCGTGCAATAGTCACTCAGCATCCCAAAGGCTCGCGTGGTCCTGATTCAGAACTGTCCACGCGCTTTCCACAGAAGTCCAATGTCCCCTCTTCAGGGAGAGCTCTCGCCACGCCCGGAAGCTCGTGAGTGAGGCAATAACACGCTCAGAAATTCTACCCCGTTTTCCCACTTCTCTCTGTTTGCTCTTGGCTTCTGCTTCTCCCCTTCTTGGTTCCTTGACTCTTCCCGCATCTCTGTCCCCAGCACATCGATGGTGACAAGGGACCAGAGGCATTACACGTAGTCAAAGTACTTGCTCAGGAAATGTCAGATGTCAGGAAAATGAAAAATAGAAGGCCCACCCATTTAGTTGAATAACGTTATACTTTCCACCCCTCAACCATGGCCTTTCCGAATGTGCAGAATGACCAAGATCTTAGAAACGAGGCATTTCTATTTATACGTATTTGGTAATTTTTGCCTTTTGTGCTGTTGTACTGGCCACCAACAACCATTTATTTTAGGAACATATTACTGCAGTGTTGGGCACATAAGTAAAAAGATGACCAAGTTTTTGAAGAACCTCAGCTTGCCATTGGTTGAATTAATTACGCTAATGAGGCAAACCGAGGGACAGTGTTGTCCGTCACAGCTCATCTAGCAGGCGGCATATTTACGGTCATCAGACTGCAGTCTTCCTCTCGGCTTGGCTCGTGTCCACAGCTCCTCAGGGGACACTGAGAAACTGTAACACAAACATGTTCTTTAATATAAGTGCACGGCAGACTCGTGGAGCAGTAAAACCTGAATAAAGGACGCACGCACACTCACGGCTCTGTTGGCCCTGACTAGCACGGTTACTTCATAGGTTCTGCTGCAGAAAGGCTGATGTTTTGCATGCAGCCGACTCTGGCATTGCTCCCTGAAAATGTCTTTATTCCTGAGCCCACCTGGTCCCCGAGCCCACGCGGGGTCACGGAGCCGCACGTCCCTGAAGAGAAACTCTCGCGCCGACTCCGAAACACTTTAGATGCCAGGTGCATTCAGTTCTTCATCGGCGACGGGAATTCTCCTGAAGTGCGGCTATGGAAACCAAGGGGACGAGGGTGCCTCTTCCCTGACACTTGGCTGTGTCCCAGACATTTGTCAGGGGCGAGGGGAGTGACGGGTCCCTCCAACAGCATCGAGGCCTTTTCTGGCTTCCTGTCACTCATTGAAGCATAGAAAAGTATTGTTAACAGAAGGACAAAATAATCAGGGTGCGGTTCACGAAGCATCTGCTTCATGGAAAACTCCAGAAATGCTGCTCTTTTGATATTTAACAGGTGTGATGGGGGAATACGAGCCAAAGATCGAGGTGCGCTTCCCCGACCCGGCGCTCGCCGCCAAGGGCTCCTCTGTGAAGCTGGAATGCTTCGCCCTCGGAAAGTAAGGCTGTCTTGTTTTGGTTTGTTTCCTGGTGTTTTGAAAAAAAAAAAACTTTTTGTTACTCAAACATTGCTCTAAGGTAAATTGCCAAATAGATTTCAAAGGCTGGGGGAAAGTGGAACCTTCTGATTGGAATTCAAGCCAAATGCCTAACACTCTGCAAACGGCCGGGCTGCAACGCTCCCCACGGTTGCTGCTCTTTGCTCTGGTTGGACCCATGTAGGCAGCTGCCTGAGAGAGAGAGAGTGTGCTCGTGTGTGTAAGACGTGGGCAAGTCACTGAGCCCTGACACCCCTCGCCGCCCCGTGCCCCACCCACACGCACACGCCCCACCCCAGGGTGCCCTTGCTGAATTAACCAGCAATAACTGGAAAGGAAAACCTTGCATTGTGGTTTCCAGAATAAGACCGAGTAAGGGCCCCTGGTCACGGGGGACCATCAGAATGCAGGCAAAGCTGCCTCGAGTGGGGTGCTCCGTGAGACAGGTTTGGGGAGCTTCTGAGGCAGCCGAAGGTCTGCTGTTCCGCACACAGCGGTCAGGCATCTCTATACTTTCTGGGGAGGCCCACTTCACTGCCCACGGACACCAGCGCCCAAAGGACAAAGAGGCAGGCAGGTCAGATCTGCTGTTTCTAACGGCGGGTGCCCGCAGGCCAGGTCCCAGGTCCGGGTGAGGTCCCACGTCCCTCTCTCGCAGCCCCCCCACACTCCGTCCTCGCCCTGGGCAGGAGCGAGTCTGCTCTCTGCAGAACACGCCTTGAAGGGTAACAGACTCCGCTGCCACTATCTGCACCAAGGGCTCCCCGCCACGCCCAGTCTGTTCCCCGGTGGCCATGGCACTTGGAAGCAGGGATTTGCGGCCGAGCTGCGGGAGGCACCCTGTGCGGCCTTGTTCCCGTGTTTCCAGGAGGCGGTGCAAATTAGTGCTGGTTGGTGAGGCTTTTAGGTCCCGCTCCGAGTGTGCAATTTCACACCTTCTAATTTCCGGGGGCTTTATTTTTCACGTATTTAAGAGGCCACACTGTGTTTCCATGCTCACCCCATGGCGTTTGCCTAGTGGTTGTTGATTGACCAACTGAAAGTTTCTGTTTGCCTGCCCTTTAAGACACTATGGGCTTGGACCCTTTTCAAGCTTTCTCGGAATCTAAAGTTGCCAAAAAACACAAAACATTTGTCAGAAAAATGCTTGGAGACTTAGATGACTCATTTAAAAAGAAAACAGAAAAAGAGGGCCTCTGAGAAGAATATCAACAGCATTGTCTATCACGTGGATAGACTAAGGGACACGTGGATTCCTGAGATTTAAAAAATACTCATACATGATAAACGGCTAACAGTGATTAAAGCTGGTTCTCAAGAGTCCCACATAAAAAGTGTCGTTTGTTAAACCAGGTATAACTAAGAATTTATGTGATGTCTGTTAGTCTCACAATCGCCTGGGTCACACCGCCATCTTCTTACGTGTGAGAAGCGGAGGCTCAGCTGGGAGGAGCAACCCGGCCTGGTCCGCGTCTGCGAGGGGGTCAGAGCCAGGCACCCCGCCCCACTGGAGTTCACGTTCTGAGCTCCAGACGTCGGGCAGGTGGCTCGGACCGCCACTCTTGAGTCAGAGGAGGCAGATCCGGCCCCCCCTTCTTGTGGGTACTTTATGCGACCTCAGCAAGAACGTCTTGTTCTTCACAAGGAATCACGGGGACTCCACCCCCTTTGGTGGGACGATGACAGTGGGCACGACATGCCAGAAACTTGGCACCGGGCTTGGCATCCGGGTGGTAACTGTCCACCGAGTCACCTGCGGCCCAAGCCCCAGCCCCCCTCGCTCTCAGTGCAGCCAGCGGCCACGTCGGTGGGGGCGGCCAGGCCAGAAAGCGCCCCCTGGGATGGCAGGAGGCCAGTGCCCACCTCCCGGCCTCGGGCCCGTGGCCGAGCCACCAAGATGCAGGCACAGGCCGGAGGTCGAAAGGCCAGCAGATGAGGGGAACATTTGGCTCCTTGATATCGTCTGAATTGCTCACATATCAGATTCCTTAACTTTATTTATTTCTAAAACGTTCAAACCTACGGACATGTGGAAAGAGCAATACCCAGGTAATCCTGCCGAACCCCGTTTTAGTCCAGTTGGCCATGAAATTGAAGGGAGAGAGAAAGGAAAAAGGCGGAGTCAGGCTGTTCCGACCGACCCACATGGGGTTCATCAACCCGTGTGTGCTCCTGAGCCGGTCACGGGCCGGGAGAGGCCACTGGACGTCCGTGGGAGACATGGGCTGACCACCCGAACAGGACGAGTGAGGCCTCTGACTGTACGAGGGGAATCACTGAGAATTCTCGTGGAGAACTTAGAAATACATCAAACCGTCCCTTCTTGCTGGTTAAGCGCACAGTGATAGAAGCCATTGACGTGTTAAACATTGAGAACCGGTAAAACAGTAGACAGTCAAACCGATTGTGCTGAGAACCCTGGGGGTGCCTAACCTTGACCAAAGTAGGATTAGCCATATTCGACCCAGGAAAATTTGAGTCAGAAAAATAATGATTGAAAAGCTCTCACAATGATAAATCTGAAGTGTATGTTAAAAATAAGATTGATACCTTAATGTCCATTGTTAAAACTATGCATAATAAAACCCGCGTGACCCCCTCTCGGCCCAGGCTCCTGCGGTGAGCGACTTCCTCTCCACAGGGGATTGACGACCTTCCTGATCACAGACTGAACTCTCAGCTCTTCTCACCGTCTTAGCGGGGCAGACTCTCAACTAGCCGAGCTGTACACCAGTTGCTCTGTGAGACGCCCCGAGAAGCTTGGGGCGCTGGTGGGTGCGGACGCCACCTGGCAGACTGACAGACCAGCAGACCAGGCCCCTTTAGAAGAACAGCCAGGCCTGTGCACTGTCTGAAGAGACTAACCTGGCATCCTCCGTCCTTCCCCCGCTGCCCCACCAAACAGACGAACCCCTTCTCCTTTCTCCCCCCCCTTAAATTAGGAGCTTTGCCATCAGCGCTCCAGAGTGTAAATAGAGCCCGTGGCTGCCCTGAACGCCCCTGTGTATCTCAGAGCCTCTGCACGGAGGGCTGTACTCAGGCAGATGTGAGTCTCTGGGTTATTTTTTCTAATTTATGGAGGAAAAGAAACCCAGTAACTCTGAAGTCTCTCCACGGTGTTTGCAGGTGTTCTGGAACTGTCAGAGGACAGAGCCGCTGAGGTCTGCGTTTCATCTCACACCCGTGGTGTCTCTGTAGTCTGCACCCCGGGAAGCCGTGCAGGGTCCCCATGGGTTTGCAAGTCCGATAGGTGCGCTCAGATGCTCGTCTCAGCTGAGATCTCCAAGGCAGCGTTGAATGGAGGTGGTGAGAGGAGAGGTCCTTGTCTTATTCCTTATTCAATGTGAAAACAATCCATCTCTCGCCATCAAGAACGATGTCAGCTCTTTTTTTGGTACACATTCTTCAACAAGCCCAGGAAGCTCCCTTCTAGCCCCAGTTTGCTTTGAGCTTTTATTGTGACGGGTGTTGAGTTTTCCAACTGTTGTTTCTGTACCGATTGATATGGTCACGTAATTTTTTGTTGTTGCTCAGGAGTGGATTACTTAAATTAATTTGCAAATTTTGAGCCAGTCTTGCATACTTGGAATAAGGGCCATTTGATTGTGGTATATTAATCTTTCCAAACACTGATGTAGTTAATCTGTGAACATTTGTCCAGGATTTTTCCATCTATGTTAATGAGAGATGTTGGTCCGTAGTTTTTCTTTTCTTGAAACGTATTTCTCTTGTTTTGATATTAGGGAAACTCTGGCCTCATAGAAGAAATTAGAAATGGCTCTCTCTGCTTCTGTTTTCTGGAAGAGATTATAGATAATTATGATTTCTTTCTTATGTGTTTGGAGAATTCATCAGTGACTCTAACGGGGTCTGTGCTTTCTGTTTTGGAAAACTATTAATTATTTATTACACTTTTTTAGGAGTCCTAGGTCTATTCAGATGATTCATTCCCCCTGTGAGAAATTTGGTCATTTGTACTTCTCAAGAAAGTGGTTAAAATTTCATCTAAGTCATCTTTTTAATGTTCGGGGGTCAATAGTAATGAAGCGTTTTCCATTTCTAGTAGTAGTTGTGCCTTTTTTTTTCCGTGGGTTAGCGCAGCCTAGAGAAAAATCAACTTCATCGATCTCTTCAAAGAATCAGCACTTGGTTTTTGTCGATTTTCTCTGTTGGTTTCCTGTTTTCAATTACACACACTTAGGTCTCAACCAAATTATTCCCACATGAGCATGGAACACGCACCCAGTGAGACAGGACACAGGCAGATGGAGGCCAATGGCAGACCGAAGCAGGATCCGGGGTCCCGGGCCCCACAGCGGGCGGGGGGCAGGCGCAAACCCAGGGCGGGGCGGGACGCTGTGGGAGTCCCAGAAAAGCACAGTTTTCCGTGAAGCTTCACCACAAAGCAAAACACCACACAAACGAAACATGGAACAAAACGAAACACGCAGTGAGTTTTATCTGTTTGGTATTCCTGCAAACATGTTGAGAAAATTATAAAAATACAGGCAAACAAGAAGAAGAGAATAAAATTAGCTTTACACTTAATTTCTCCCCCAGAGCATAACTACTCCTAGTCTTTTGGTGCATCTTTAATTCTTCATTTTATTTCTAATACAATTATTATAACACAATGCGTATTCTTTTGAAAAATGCTTTTAAAAACCTTTAAGACACATATCACCACAAACATGTCTGCAGGTCACAACCAGACTCCACCCCTCGCTGGTATCGATAGTGAGGAATTCGGACCCTGTTTCGACCAGACTTCTTGTTTTCATTTTTTTGTTTCCGTGAATGATGATGTAATTAATGTTCTCGTGGCTACGTTTTGCCCAACTCCATGTGAACTTCTCAATCCACTTCGGGAAAAGTAGACTTACTGGGGGAAGGGGACGTTAACACCCTAAGCCTCCGGGAGTGAGCCTCCAGTTCTCCTGAGGAACAGTCCTGGGGGTCCA